GTTTGCAGTGTTCTATATGTTTCTATGCTAGATTTAATTTTGTCTTGTATATGCTCCTAACTAGAACTTACAACCTCAAAAGAAGGGCATTATTAATGATCATTAATCCTATGCTTATGAACTTTCATTAGATGTTGGTTATCAGGTCCTCGGTGGCTGCAATCCTCCTAACATATGTTACGCTTTATTGTGGCAGCACGTTTTCCTTCTGTAATTGTTAAAAATGTATTACAGATATTCTGAATGACATTGCAGGTGATGATGAATTCAATGAATGTTCCTTCCAAAAGAAGTACACTGGAGAGGAAACTTGACAAGCTCATACTCGCTCTCTTTGCAACACTCTTTATGATGTGTTTCATTGGAGCCATAGGCAGGTATGTCAGCTAAATAACCAGTTTGCTGGACCACTTCTAAATTGTTGCTAATGTTTTGGCAGTGCTAGGAAGGGTTGGAATTTGTTTTGTATGAGCTCTGAATTAGATTTATTGTTTTAATTACTGTTCCCAATATCAGTGTTTTGATGGATAATACATGACATGCCCACAACTTGAAATTTTATTTTTAGTTGAGTTGAGATTTAAAAATAAGTAATGATTATGAGTCCTACTATAAGTATTAAATTCATAAAAATTGTAATCAGTGTCAATTTTTTTATAAAAATCTTAACATAATAATAGCAAGCCTGTTATTATAACTGAAAATTTGTAATTACAGAATGGGAAGTTGAGGAATATGCGCTTTTTATATTTTAGTTTAGTTATATGATATGGTTTATTATAAAAACAAGTGAAATTTTGAGAAAGCGAGGTAATCCCTTACATTGTAGTAGTATGTATTTGTGAATGATATTATTGGAATTTGTGAATTGCAGCGCTATTTTTGTGAACAAAAAATACTTCTATTTACATCTTGATTCATCAGAGGAGGGCTCAGCACAGTTCAATCCAAAAAACAGATTTCTGGTAACGTGTACTTCTTCTGTCAAGATAAATAGCCACCACTGCTCATTCTTTTTCTCTTAACTTATTTGCTAATTCTGAGTCTTCTGTTGTCAGGTTTTTATCCTGACTATGTTTACCCTTATCACACTGTATTCAACAATCATCCCAATTTCACTTTATGTGTCTATAGAGGTTTATGTCTCAGTCATTTGAATTTATACACTCCAAAATTTCCATGTCTTTGTAAAGAGAAAATGTAATTTATTTGTGTTATTGTATCAGATGATAAAATTTATTCAATCAACTCAATTTATCAACAAGGATTTGGGAATGTACCACAATGAAACTAATACACCGGCACTGGCCAGAACTTCAGATCTGAATGAAGAACTTGGACAGGTAAGTAGCCACCATGTGTTTTGCTTGTAGGTGTAAAATAAATATTCTTGATTTAAAAGGAAGAGAGTGGAAGAAAAGGTACAAAATAAGATATACACAAAATGGTGGAGGTTTAAAGGCAAACACAAAAGAAATAAAAGAAGACAGTAATATAAAAAAAGGTTTCTGAAATAATAATGACCTTTTAAGAAACTCAGAATAAAAGTGGTTTAGTATTGCAAACGGTTACATCTTCACCAGGTTCTCACTGTGTCTGAAGCTATCCTTTCAAAACCCCTTCTCGATGTCTCTCATGATTTAGTTATTTTCATAATGAAAGAAGTATTGTTTTCCCTTATTTCTTTTGCACTCCCGAAATGCATGTTGTTAGTTTCTGTTATAACATGTAGTTAGTTTCTGTTTTAACAGCTCCTTGAATTCAGGAACCGTTCCCTTGATTTTAGGGAGTTAGTTTAGTCTAACTACAACTCGATAAATAGAGTTGAATCTATTGTACTCGGTAAGAATGAAAAAAATAATAATACATTCTGATTTTTCAATATCGTATCAAAGCCTTATCTAACATAATCAAGCCTTATCTTTAATCTACGTGGGATTCAGGTTTTCCAATATGAAATATAAATTGTTTTGAAGTTTCTGTATTTTTTTCTTGTCATATTTGAATGTGAAACAAACTGATTTATTAGGTGGAATACATTTTCTCTGACAAAACTGGGACCCTAACAAGAAACTTAATGGAGTTCTTCAAGTGTTCGATAGGAGTAGAGGTCTATGGAAATGGTGTGACTGAAATTGAGAGAGGACTAGCATAGCGCAATGGCATGAAAATTGAGGTAGTACTCTTGTTGTGTATTGTAAGAAAGTAGATGACCTGTTTTGAAATAGTACAATTATGTCTTATTATTTCTCTACAGGAAAATAGACCGCCCCATACTGTGCATGAGAAGGGTTTCAATTTTGAAGATGCCAGGCTTATGAGAGGAGCTTGGAGGAATGAACCCAATCCTGATGCCTGCAGAGTAAATGATTTTGCTTTACTTTGAATTAATGGTAGCAGTTTATTTTATCTTTAAACCTAGTCTTGAGTTTTTGGTTTGTAAGTTTGATCCTTTCTGAGTAAGGTTCTTATATACATCCATCTATGTTTTAAAATGGAAAATCAGTTGCCTTAATTTGTGCTTGCTTGTTGCATGTTATACATAAGCTATTGGTTCGCATTTATCCAAGAAATTATATGAGATTTCTCTCAATTGTAAACATCTATCACGAGTTCCATATAAAGTTTGTATGTCTGAGCTGGATACTTAAAAATCTAATTTCTAATAAATGTATATGGTTTTATTTCATTCTATGTGTATTGCACTATCACCCTCATCTGTCATGGGTTGCATATAAAGTTTATATGTTCAGAGGTGGATACATAAAAGTCTGCAATTTCTAATAAATGTATACATTTATTTTATCCTATTTGTGTATTGTACTGTCAATCTGTCATGTTCTGTAATTTTAATCCCTGCAATTTCTAATAAATGTATACATTTATTTTATCCTATTTGTGTATTGTACTGTCAATCTGTCGTGTTTTGTAAGAAGATACAACAAGTAAGAGTGTTCATCAGAGTTCATTTACTCCAAAAAATAAACATAAAAGGATAGCACAAGTTATACATACATACATACAGTTAAAGGCTATTGTAAGTCCTGAATAGTGAGTCAAAAACAGAATGGTTTTCATAATTGATTTATTTGCTAGTAAGCTCATGTCACCTATTACAGTTTAGAACGAAAATTCACATCCATTAAAAACCTTCATAATTAATTCACATCCATGAGATGTGAAGAATATAAACAATGTGTTTTGCTCATTGGTTTAGTTTTTATTTGTGCGAGGTTTAATTCTTGTTGATGTCTTAATTGTCCTTTGGACCAAAAATACTTATGGTTAATGTGTTTTATTTTATTTCCTTATGCAGCAATGTATCAATGAAGATGTTGAAAAGGACGATATAAATGATGAAATTCAAGAGGACGACATAAATGATAAAATTCAAGAGGACGACCTAAATGATAAAATTCAAGAGGACGACGTAGATGACGAATTTCAAGAGGACGACATAGATCTAGATGATGAATTTCAAGAGGAGGATATAGATGGTGAATTTCAAGAGGACGACGTAGATGAAGAATTTATGGAGGATGACATATCTAACGAATTTCAAGAGGACGATCTGGATGCTTTACTCCTAGAAGACAAACTTGAATGAGTTGGATGATGTCTTTTTTTTGGCTTGTAGTTGAAAGCATTAAACTTGAAATATGATTTTTGTTCTTTTGCTGAACTATGTTTTTAGTTATTTTACTAAGGTCATACTTCAAAGTATTAAAAGTAATATTGTTACGTTAGGCATTTTGTGTACTCTATATACTATATCTTGAATTAAAGTTTGAACTCGATTTTATTATATTACAACTTTTATGGATGTATGGTTTAAGTTATATAATCAATATTATTTTTGAAGCCAATTATTATTGACTATATTATTTTGATAATAATTGCAAAATTGTATATTTTATGTGGACACTATAAAACAACAACCTATAAGCTATGGCTACACTTCAAAAACGATCTTCCTGATTCAGGTTTAAGGCAACGATTGTTAATTGTAGCCGAATTTGGCAACGCAACGCTTAAAAAACGTTGTCTCAGAGGCCGTAAATAATCGTCCCCTATTCTTTTACTATAGGCGACGTTTTTCAAAAGCGTTCCCAAAAAATATAGAAAAACGTCGCCTCAAACAATAGGCAACGCTCGCACAGGAGACGCCTAGAAAACGTCCCCTATTGTTTTAGGCAACGATTTTCAGAGTTCTGGCAACGTTTTTCAATTGTTGCTGGAGAGCCTAAATGTTGTAGTGATGAATGCAATTTGAAAAATATTGATTCGTTTAATTTGTTTTTCAAAAATAATTAAAATTTTCAAAATATTATCTACTACATCAATTTTAATAGTTATATATATTTAGTAAGGTGTATGGAAAAACAAATAATTTATATATTTTATAATAAATTCAAGTATTTTCCACAACAGTAATCTTCTGTAACCGTGATTAAATATTAATTATTTTCAAATAAATTATTGCTACTGAGTTTCATATCTATGACTTAAATATATGTGTCACAATGATTGGTTAATACTTAATATAATCGTTGTAATAATAGTGAGAATGTATTAAGGACGTCTGAAAATTTAATTCCGTACTAAGCCTAGAGCATTTTCAGGTTTCATTGATGAGTCTTCGCCACTAAAGGGTTACCACATGAATTAAACACTCAATTTTTTATTATACATGATTGATTATATTGCCAACTCTTCTACCACCATGTTGTGTTTTTCTAAGGTTAAATAGAATATATTAATAAGGGTGGGCAATAAAAGGTCCTAAAAGATCACACGCACAAGAATTATTATACCAAACCCTCCACCATAATCACCATATTGTTTGGAAGTATACAATTTTTTAACAATATATTAAGCCATACGTCCATAATTCCATATTATTATATATACCCACCATACAAATGATATAAGTGAAATCCTAATTCCAAATTGTGAAATAATTTGGTAGATATCAAACTGTGATTCCAATCAAACCAAACATGTCTCGCAGAACTTCCAGGTACAATTTTGCATCTTTTACTTTTTAAAACCAATAAAATTACAGCACCGGTTAAAATTTACTTTTTACATCTGTGGAAAATTAAAACCTACTGTTGTAGTATGTGATGATGTTGTTCTACATCAAAATCTTTTACCTATAGCTATAATTCATATACACTTTGTGTATATTGTTCATCTTTGCACCATATACGGTAGAACTATTGACTAATATGCCTTGTAGATCACACAAAAGCGATGGAGAAAGTGGTTCTTTCTGTATAACTGTGGAGGAGTTGTTGGAAACTAGTATTTCAGAAGAGGCAAATAAAGCAAGATGCAAAGATGCAATAAACGCAGATTCCGACAGAAGGTTAAGCTTTATAATTTTATATCTTATTGTTGAATTTTCTGTTAAGGTACATCTTTAATTTCATTTTAATTAATTACTATCAGATAATGCTCATCTTACATGAATTGGAACCAGAGTCCGATGATGTTCATATTACAAACTATGAATCTCACTAAGCCCATTACTAGCTACGTCCCACTATCTTGTTTTAGAGCAAAATCTAAAATAGAATTCAATTTTGCACATAGCAAAGAGATATCTTTCCTTTAGGATTTATTAGATTTTTTTTTATAAATAATTGCATTAAAAGGAGCACTTTGGGAGATTAAAGTACCATCAAATATTTCGTTTTTTTGGATGGAGATTTATTCTTATACTACAAAAAAAACTCTAATTTGCGATGTGAAATTCACGTCACAAAGTGAAAAATTACGTCACAACTTTATATTTGCGACTTGAACAATCACGTGGGTGGAGAACGGGTGGTAATTTTTTTGTGACGTGAAAATCACGTCGCAACATGCTTACATAGAAATTCAGACTTTGCAGAAAAAGCATGCGCAACAGGAGTCAAATCAGAAGAAAAAAAACACTTTATTTGCCACGTGATTTTCACGTCACAAATGAATGACGTGAAAATCACATCGTTAATTAATAATGTTTAACACCTCTCCTTGTATTTAGCTTTTGTTATTTTATATAAAAAAAATAGGTTGCGACGTGATTTTCACGTCACTAATTTCTAATTTGTGACGTGAAAATCACGTCACTAGTTTATTACAATACATATACATTCAGTTTTTGTTTCTTTATTGAATAAATTAAGCTGTGAAGTGATTTACATGTCACAATTTTGTGACATGGAAATCACATCACTAATTATAAGAAAATGTTTTTCACTGCTTTTTATTGATCATGAACATGTATTATATACAAGAATTACAATCTGCATAATAGGAAACTAATTATGCCTAATCAATGTAAATATTCTTTGACTTTATATCTCATTAGTGTACAATATTTGTTCCAAATATAGATATGTTCTGTCACACCCCCGCAGTTGAAGCGGGAGGTTGACGTACGCTTAAACTGTCTCGGAAATCTTGAAATAGTATTAGGGGAAGACCCTTGGTGAAAATATCCGCAATTTGATAGCGCGATGGAACATGCAAGACGCGTATCTGTCCGCGAGCTACTTTTTCACGTACAAAGTGAATGTCCATCTCAATATGTTTTGTACGTTGATGTTGAACAGGATTACCAGAAAGATATATGGCACTTACGTTATCACAGTATACCATAGTAGCTTTGTGTATCGGATAATGTAGCTCGAGGAGTAGGTTACGTAACCAGCATGACTCAGAGACGACATTGGCAACTCCACGATATTCAGCTTCAGCACTGGATCGGGAGAGTGTGGGTTGTCGTTTAGACGACCATGATAATAAGTTGTCTCCAAGAAAAACACAATAGCCTGAAGTAGAGCGTCTAGTGTCGGGACATCCTCCCCAGTCAGCATCTGTGTAAGAAATCAAAGATGTAGTGGATGATGGATAGAGATGTAAACCGTAGTGACTAGTTCCCTGAATGTAACGCAAAATTCGTCGGAGAGAGTGCATGTGATCTTCCATGGGGTCATGCATAAAAAGACATATTTGTTGTACCGCATATGTGATGTCGGGTCTCGTGAAAGTGAGGTATTGGAGAGCACCAGCAAGGCTACGGTATAATGATGGGTCTTCATAGGGAGTGCTAGTCTTGGCGCTAAGCTTCGGTTTAGTGTCAACCGGAGTGGGACATGATTTGCATGATGACATGCCTGCTCGCTCAAGAATTTCATCTGCATACTTTTTCTGAGATAAGAACAGACCACCATTATGTCGAGTAACTGCAATACCCAAAAAATAATGGAGTGGTCCCAAGTCTTTCATAGCAAATTCAGAGCTGAGTCGTGATATTATAGACTTGCGAAGATCATCAGAAGAAGCGGTGAGAATGATGTCGTCCACATAAAGAAGAAGATAGGCCATGTGTGTATCTTTCCGGTAGATGAAAAGAGAGTTGTCTGACTTGCTTTGAGAAAACCCGATAGAATATACATAATCTGCAAATCGTTTGTACCAAGCTCTTGGAGCTTGCTTTAGCCCATACAAAGATTTTCGCAGACGGCAGACATGATGAGGATGATTTGGATCCTTAAAGCCCAAAGGTTGATGCATATACACTGTTTCTTTGAGTTCACCATGTAGAAAAGCATTCTTGACGTCTAACTGATGAATTTTCCATGCTTTAGATAAGGAAAGATTGAGTACTGTTCGGATGGTGGTTGGTTTAACAACCGGACTGAAGGTCTCCCCACAATCTATGCCAACCTGTTGACCTGCACCGTTACCTACAAGTCGGGCTTTATGCCTCTCAAAAGAACCATCAGATTTTTCTTTATGCCTAAAAATCCACATAGAACGAATAACATTTGCATCAGGTGGACGGGGCACTAAATCCCACGTCTTATTTTGAATAAGAGCATTGTATTCATCATCCATAGCCATTTTCCAATTTAGGTCTTTTAGTGCTAACACTGGGTTACGAGGGAGAGGAGATTTTGTAACTTCGGTGTGGAGATTGATGTATTTTTGGTTTGGTTTAAAAATGCCATGTTGGCTCCTCGTAACTGGTTTGTTGTTAGAATTAAGGGTAGGTTGGTAAATGGGAGGAAGTGGGATATTTGGCGGAGTAGATGTGGATGGCAAAGTTTGGGCCAATTGAGAGGTAGTTTGGGCCGGTTCTGATTGGTCATGGGTTTGAGACTGTTGCTGAGTGATGTGGGTCGGTGTCATTGGATATGGGTCAGGTTGAGTGATGAGGTGATTTATGATGTAAGGTGATAATTCATTATCAAGAAATTGATAATTTTCCGGATTAGTAGTGTGTAGTTTAGAGAAGGGAAATTCCGATTCATCAAATATGACATGGCGACAAAGGATGATTTTATTTTGTGATAAATCATAACATTTGTACCCGCGATGATTGGAAGGATATCCTAAAAAAACACATGGGGTGGATCGAGACTGGAGTTTATTTATAGTAGTGGATGGAAAAAGAGGGTAACATAAACAACCGAATATACGTAGATGAGAGTAGGATGGATGCTTTTGAAAAAGGATTTTGAGAGGTGATTGATAATTCAACTTTTTATTTGGTAAAATGTTCAACAAATAAGTTGCCATTTGTAAGGCATGGTGCCAAAAACTTGGAGGTAAAGATGCATGAATGAGTAAAGTCCGAACTATATTATTAATAGAACGGATTTTTCGTTCAGCTTTTCCATTTTGAGATGAAGTATGAGGGCATGAGAAACGAAATGAAATTCCATTTGCTTCACAAAGTTTTTGAAAGTTACTATTGACATATTCTCTACCATTATCGCACTGAATATTTTTAACTTCCAGTTGAAATTGAGTTTTAATATATGCTCTTAATTTTTCAAAGGTTGGAAAAACTTGAGATTTATGTGAAATTGGAAAAGTCCACAGAAAATTCGAATAGTCATCCAAAAAAAGCACATAATATTTATGACCGGAAGTACTCAATACGGGAGATGTCCATACATCACTATGTAGTATGTCAAATGGCATGAATGTAGAATTTTGCGAATCAATAAATGGCATTTTAACATGTTTACCAAGAGGACAAGAAGGACACAAAGTTGAAGTGGACTGTAAATTAGGAGCACATTCAATCATTTTATTTTTTCGAAGAGAATCTAAAATAGATGCTCCTGGATGACCCAAACGGTTGTGCCAGACAGAGGTAGATAAAGCTGCAAACTCAGAAGGAAAGATGTGTTTATTCTTTGTTGTGTTGGTGATGGGATATAGTTGGCCTTGACTCTCACATCGCATTAGAACCATCCCCGTCTGAAAGTTCTTTACAGAAAAACCAAATGGATCAAATTCAACAGAAACATGGTTATCGGTAGTGAATTTACGAACAGAGATTAAATTCTTAATCAATTTCGGTGCATGGAGGACATTAGATAAAGTTAATGGAGGGTGTGGGGGGGATAAGTTAGCATTTCCAAAACCATGAATAGGAACTGAATGACCATTTCCTACGATAATACTATTATTTTTGCTCAAATTAAAATAAGATGAGAGATTACCTTGTGTGGATGTCATATGAGATGTTGCTCCAGTGTCCATGTACCATGATGGGTCAGATTGAGCAAGATGGAGAGTGTGAAGAGCAGCTTCAATATCTGTTGGGCTTGGCCCAGTTGCAGCAAAGGCAGCAGATTGTGGCCTATTTCCAAGAATTCCTGCTTGCTGAGTTTTTGGGCCAGCATTGGGCCTAGGCCAATAAGAAGGATACGGAGATGGAGGAGGAGCCCATGGTGCATATTGTTGTTGTTGCCACTGTTGCCAAGGATACGGAGAAGGAGGTTGCTGCTGCCAGCCCGAGTTCGGGCCACCGCGTCCACCACCACCATTGAACTGCATCCCTCCGTGGTTGTGACGTCCTCCTCTGCCGGAGCTTCGACCTTTACCTCGGTTGCCGTTTCTGCCTCTGTTGTTGATACCGCGATTTCCATTGTTTGCAGTCAAATTTCGGGCGGAAAACGCGTTGGGAGAGGTGGAGGAGTTGTCAGAGGTTGGGGTTTTCACGAGTAGGGCCGTTGGAGAAGAGATAGTGCTGGATTCGCGTGCAGTACGTTGGGCCATCGTCGATTCTTCTAATTCCAATCGCGATTTCGCCGTTTCAAAGGTTGGTAATGGATCGTGTTGCTGAATGTATGTGACAAATCCTGCATATGAATCTGTCAGTCCAGAAATCATCTTCAACACAAGACGAGTGTTGTTGACGGGAGAATCAACATTTGCAAGTTGATCTGCGAGGAGTTTGAGGCGATTGCAATATGCTTTTGTCGACGGGAAATCTTCCAAGTGCGTGTTGGTGAATTGATGTTCGAGGTGGACTGCTCTCGAATGCTTGTTATCTTGAAACATAGCAGCAATTCGTTTCCAACAGCTTTCGGCGGTGTCGTTAAGCACCAGGATAGAGCTAAGGATGTCCTGGGTAACGGTGGCATACATCCACTGTAAAACAACAGCGTCAAGACGGTTCCAGAGGTTTGGATCATTGGTCTTTGTTTGTGCGACTTCTTGTTGGGTTGCCGCATCGGTGGGAGGGATAATATGATCAAGGACGTTGTGGACACGTGCTTGAACCTGAAACAGAGCAGACCAAGAGAGATAGAGACTGGAATCATTATCTAATGTGATTGGAATGATGGTTTTCACGTTTGTAATTGCGAAGGCAGAGTGAAATTTAGGTTGAGATGTTGGCGTTTCCGTGCCGGTGCTGTTGTTTGAAGAGTTTTCGGAGGTTGAAGATATGGTGGAAGAGAAAAAGGAATTTGTTTGGAGCGGAAGAGAGAAAAAAATGGATCAAAACCGTTCTGATACCATATAAGAAAATGTTTTTCACTGCTTTTTATTGATCATGAACATGTATTATATACAAGAATTACAATCTGCATAATAGGAAACTAATTATGCCTAATCAATGTAAATATTCTTTGACTTTATATCTCATTAGTGTACAATATTTGTTCCAAATATAGATATGTTCTGTCACTAATCTTTTTTTTATAATTTAATTGTTGAAATTTGTTTTTCTTTTATAATTAATTAAATTAATTAAATTAATTAATAAATTCAATATATAATAAACTAAATTAATAAAATAAATATATAATAAATTCAATATATAAATTCAATATATTAAATTTAATAGAATAAAATTAATAAAGTAAAATTATAAATTTAAGAATTCTTAATTTAATATATAAAAAAATTTAAATTACACAAACTTAAATTTGAAAGCGAAATAAAAAAAATTAATTCTACAGGTCATCTTGGTTGATATAGTTCTCAATGTCAAAAATATCTTCGTTTCCGTCAAAATTAAATAATAAAAAATTTAAATTTATTTTTCTATTTTATAAAAATATATAATAAAAAAATATATTATATTTCTGTTTTATTTATCTGTTTTTCTGTAATAAATTATTTTTCTGTTTTATTTTTCTATTTTAAAAAATATACATTATATTTCTATTTTTAAAATACATTATATATTTTCTGTTTTAAAAAAAATAAATAAATATTTCATTTTTTTCTGTTTTATCAAAATATATATTATATATCTATTTTAAAAATATATATAACAAAAAAAACTATAACTAACACAACTAAAATATAATAACCCAATAAAAATTTCAGAAGAAAAAAATTAAACAACTAAAATACCTCTTCTTCAATCTCCTTCAATCTTTGTCAATATTGCTCAATCTACTACAAATGAATCTCCTCAATATTGCTTAATCTTTGACAACAAAAAAAATTTAACTAAATCAGAATAAATATAAAAATTAAATGCAATTATTAAATTAAACTGAAAAATATGAAAGAACAAAAAATTATACCTGATACTTGAGTAACAAATTTAAAATTGAAATTATAAGTGGAAGATTAGTGGGGAGTGGGAGAAGAACGAAGAAATGTTGGCTTGGCAAGGGAAGAATGAATTGCGCAAGGTATATAAAGACATCAGCAGCGTGAATATCACGTCGCAACTTTACCACGTGATATTCACGTCGCAACCTACAACGGTCAAATAAATTATTAGCTTATCAGTGACGTGATTATCACATCGCAACTTTGTCACGTGATAATCACGTCACAACACCCAACTGTCACAAACCATTATTACTCAACCTGCGCCCCACCAGTTCAAAGTCAGACACTTTTTCTCTTAAATGTTTGCGACGTGATTTCTACGTTGCTACCAATTGTATAAAGTTTTCAAGCATACCTCCTTAAGAGCGCCAATTGTATAAATTCTAGAGAAACATTCATACCATAAAATTTACTTTTAAAGAAATTCACACTAAGACCAGAAACTAACTCACATCCCCTAAGAAAGGCTTTGATTCCCCAAAGGTTTTTCCAAGTTCTTCTACCAACCAAAATAGTGTCATTTGGAAATTGTAAAATATTATATTCTACCAAATTATTTACTCTGAATCCTAAAAAAAACATGATCTCGCTGCGTTTCACATCATGCTCTCCAAGCTTTTTGTCACTATGGAAAAGAGAAAATAAGATAGAGAGATGACACCAGAAGTTATAGAGGCTTAGCCAATATTCTTAAGAGATTTTAGTAGTTTGAACTCTCGAACCCCTTATACAATGAAACAAAGTTTAAGGTCGACTTTCAACCAAACAGCAAAACACACAGGGAAACAACGAGCCTTCCTTTACATCAATAGCTTGTAGCGGTTGGTCTTCAAGTTTCAAAATCTAATTTTACACGGGTTGATCTCAACTCTTGGAGAGCTTTTATCACGGGTTGAACTCGAATCGAGCCAGGGTTTTTATAGGTTGACAACGAACCTAAGAGATTTTATACTGCACTTATCTCTAACCTTAGTAACACTACTACGGACTTCCGTAGCATCTTCCTCCAATTGTGACATTCCATCATTCACGATTTCTACAACATCTTGAAATATGAAAATAACCTTCATTTGTGTCATCTTTCTTTGATAGTTTTCACATTTGAAAATCAGAAGATTTGTTGGAAATTGTGTTAAGGTTGTTGATCTGTTTGCCATTAGATTCTCTCTGAATCGCAAACAAGCTCTGATACCAATTTGTTGGAACAAAGGATTCAAAAAAGATGAATATTTTGAAAAACAAGAAGAAGAAGAAGATAAAAGAAGAGAGAGAGATTGTTGAGTTAGTTAGTGTAACTAACTCTTGAAACTGAAACTGTTATTATTATTACTACATTAATGACCCTTTATATAGGCAACATGCCCAGACTCAAATACAAGATAAAACCCAAATAACAACTAACAAGAATTAACCAACTAACAGTCTGATCACTTCTACTGCTTCTATTTAATGAGATTTTAATTGCGTTAAAATCCCCTCCTAAACACCACTTTCCCTTACTCCATTTGTTTTTCAAACAGTAATGATTCTCCCACAACAATCTTTTTTTTTATCTAAGGAATAAGGAGAATATATATTCAAAAATAAGGTCACTCTTCTCATTGTCCCCACACACAATTAAAGCACACAAATAAAATCCCTCATATTTAGTCAATTAATTCATTGCTAACCTTTTATTTTCTAAGGCGCAATTTTAGTAAATATTAATGAAAAAACAACTTGATCTAATGAAAAAAGGACAAGGATTTGTTTTTGATAATCAAAAGGAATTGTATCAAGAAAAAACACAAGGGGTTGCCTAACCCAAATACAACAAAGAGACCTAGGCTCAAGAAGCAAGTAGCTAAATTCATGTTCTAAAACAAAAGAGGATCAGCATTGAAACTAAAGAAATTACATCCCTGTAAGTTTACTCTATCAATGAAAATCCAAAGCCAATCCAAAAGCTTGCTAAGATGCTAAAGATTAGATATGTTGCAAACTCCTTCTTCAAAAATGATTTTGTTCCTATTTGCCCAAATACTCCAAATGACACCAAATGATCCCCTCTTACCTTTAATAACCTTCCCCTTCTACTTATCCTAAAATAACATAAAAATGTGGAAACCAGAATCATGGCAGTCAATAAGGATCCCCAACCAAGTACAAATGTCCTTCCAACATAGAAACAGGACAAGTGAAAAACAAATGATCAAGATTCTCTTCCTCAACACCACATTGCACTCACACAAGATCTCTATATGTGGTTAGGATATTTATTTTCTTCAATTGAATTTTAGATGGCAATCTATTGAGAAACAATATCCTCTGGAATAAACTAACAAGGATTTCCCTTTTGATTAGACCAAATAGATAGGACACTCCACCATTTTCATCCGCTGGAACGAAACTCCAATCACAATAAAATTTACCTCATAGATTATCATATAGAGAATTCTCCATCGCTCCAAGCATAATCTCTTGAATTGCCAAAAATTAAAATGATTAGACCATATTATCTCCCAAATTTCACCCTTCTTAATCATCCTCCTAAAATTAAAATTTTAACTAACCAAATAAGATAAACTTCACTATACTCCTTATGTACTTTTTCCAAGATAGATCTCTCCTCTAAGGCCACCAAAACTATTCTCCATAACAAAAAAAGCCCTATTTTTGATCTTGTAATTGTTTCACTACAATCGGTTAGCAAGGCAACTTGTTTCCTGATTGTCTTTTATTTTTAGATTTTATTTTGTTTTTACTACCAGTATCTGATCTACTGGACCGATTAATCCGTTTCAGGAGACAACTTTAGCATCAAGTAGTTCCAACTTCATTGTGATTGTTTAAATAATGTGTTTATGTTAGAAACTAAATTCTGAGAGTATATTTGGTTTATCCCTCAATTATTATCCCTCGATTAAATAGTAGGCAATTAAATTAGACAAATACATCATGTGATTTCTCTTTTAGAACTCTTTTTTCATACTTTTTATATACAAGATTTTTGTAATTATATAATTACACTTGATATTTATTTTACTTTTGCAGGTCAAGTCCAGATGAACGTAGACGACATAAATCTCGCTCCCGCGAAAGACGACGTAAATCTCGCTCCCGCGAAAGACTAAGACGCAGTCCATCAAGATCACCAAGTTCATCACGAAGTAGAAGGAGTTCTCGCAAATCAAGATCATCGCAAAGTAGAAGGAATTCACCAACATTGCGAAGTAGAAATAAAAATGGAAGTCATACATCACACAATAAAAATGGAATGCCTATTCAAACTAGGGTGTTAACAGGTGAATTATGATTATTTTTTAATTTTCTAAAATATATTTTGCTTCTTAGCAAATATAGTCACTTCTGCTATTGGTACAATTTAATCACATTTTCTTTATGTAGAGCAACATCTCTTGCAACAAGAAGGAATAGAAATTGAACTCAAGTCATTGAGCCTAAAGGCAGAGGATGAATTATCCAACCGACGCAAAACAGGAGGGATATATCACGAGGTTTCGGCTAATTTTAGAAGCATTAAGAAAAGATTGAAACATCTTTCAAAGAATCATAAGACATTCTCAATTGATGAGGCTGTTGAAATATCTGATGCAGCATTTCTCTTGAAGCTTTCGAAAAAACCTGAACGTGAGATTCAGTTGGCGGGGAAAATGGCTCATAGAGGTGCCCTTTTGATGCTTGAAGCAGATATGTTAAAAGAGAAAGGGCGTGAACTACTTGACCAAGCCAAACACAAGTTAGGGATGGCAGATCTTTAGGGTATGTTTGAATTGTATTTGAGTCACTTTTTAAAATGTCAAATACAATAATTCTACAAATTAATGGTGGGTTCGAACTCTCGCAAAGACGGAATAAAATCTCATTTTAAACAAATTAGTCTAACAAGCCAATCATTACTCCAACTGCGTATGTTCCTTTAAATTAAAAATATTTTCTCATGTTTCAAAAATAAAAGAAATGTGAAAATACGAACAAAATAAAATATTTTTTGTTTTTCTGAAACTATAGCAATAAAAGTAACACTTTAAATAAATGTTTTTAATCTTAAAGTAATTCTTCCATAATTTTCAAATATAAGTCACTTTAAATTTATTTTAAAATATAAAATAGTATGCCACAATCTTTTACAGTGCCTTTATACTTTACTACTATATTTTTTATATAATATGAAATAATAAACTAATATCAAATAACAAAATACCATATAAAAGAGATGAAAGAATTCAAACACAATAAAAAGTTTTTTATTTTCCTGAAATATAATTATAGCAATAAATGAAAGACCTAAAACACATGTTTTTAATTTAAAAATAGTTCTTTCACAACTTTTAAATATAAGTCATTATGATAAATAACACAATACCGTATGCAACAATCTTTTATCATGTCTATATACGTTACTATTATACTTTTCATATAATACCAAATAATAAACTAAAGATAAACAACAATATTTTTTTATTTCTTGTCCTCTATTCGCTTAGAAACAAGATAGAGTTCGTTTCGTCAGGCAGTGTAACCACAAGATAGTATGCAACAGTATTTTATGATGTATTTATATTTTATTATTATATTTTTCATATAATATTAAATGATAAATTAATGACAAACAACTAGATATCAATACAAAAAAGATGTGAGATTTCAAATACAATAAAATATTTTTTATTTTCTTGAAATTATAGCAATAAAAGTAACACTTGAAACAAACGTTTTTAATTTAAATGTAGTTCTTACACAATTTTAAAGATAAGTCATTACGAGTTAATTTTAAAATATAATACAATATGCAACAATATTTTGTCGTGTCTATATACTTTACTATCTATGATATTTTTTATATAATACCAAATAATAAACAAAATACAAACAACAATATTTATGATTTCTTGCATATGAGAATATAGAGTTTTTTGAAAGTAGTTTACACTTTTGTTTTATAATAGTGATCATAGAGAGTATAGTAAAACACAACTATGATAATGTCTAAAGAAAGAACACTCATATTTCAACCATATCAATGACAAAATCAAATAATTTTTTTACAATCTTATTAATGAAAATTAAAATAATAAATTACAAAAATAATTAGGTTAATATAGAAACTAACATTTTCAACTCTTTATTCATCAGACAATTAAAGTTCGACAAAGTAGACATAAATTTTATAAAGTTATTGAAAGTTTTATTTAAATATAATTGTAAATAAACTTTTATGAGATGCATGCAATTGGAAAAACATTGATTGATCTAATTTGATTTTTAAATATAACTTAATTTTTATATTATAATTTTCTAAATCAATTTAAATGAATGTGTTTTCAGTGAAGGGTTATTGAAATAAACAATCTACATACAATATAATAAACTCAACTAGATCTTTTATCAATCTTCATAAGAAATTAACGCTGCAATATTCACAAAAACAAAATATTTCTAAGTCACAATAAGCTTTTTTCTTGTAACTTGAAAATATTTTGTTCCGAGAAACATTTATCAACAACAACAACATACAACAATATTTATCAATATTTATCAACAAAATAACAACAACATACAACATGCAATAACATATCAACTCATAAAATATTTCAAGATTTAGGAAAAATAATATACTTGTCTCAGAAAAAAGAGAAGTTGATCTACTTTGTGTTGCTATCAAGAAAAAATACAAGGCGGGTGAACTACACAATAACTTCATTGTTCTTGTATTGTTTTTCCATAGCAACACAAATTATTTACGAACCACAATCATACTTTATGATTTAGCAATATTTTGTTTTTGTTCTGAGAAACATTTATCAACAACAAGAACATACATCAACATTTATCAGTATTTATCAACAAAACCACAACAACATACCACATCATATCGGTTCATAATATGTTTAACGAACGTGCCTTTTATTGAAAATTTTTGTGGAAAATGAAGATGTTCTTCTTGTATTGCTTCTCCATAGCAATACAAATTATTTATGAATCCTATAAGTCAAAAAACACCATGTGCCAACTGAACAATGTCATACATGGTAATTGAAATAATCCAAAAAACAAGAAAGTCATTCCAGGTGAAAATACTTTGTAATAAGAAATGAAACAATAAAAAGGGAAACATATGAATAATAAAGATATATGGAAGAACCTATACATAGAAAAATGGAAGAAAACATATGTATAACATGGAATAAAGCTTATGAAAAAGAAGAAAGATAAAGCGCACGAACTTCACTATCTTTTAGTAAGAAAAAGTTTATGAGGACGGGATCGCTGCATGTGGAAGAGAGAGATGTTAGGGTTTTTTTTAGAGTGACAACTATTTTATTTTGAGGCTTGATAACTTCGCTTATATATATGTAAAACGTATCACAACGGTTGTTAACAAGAACCGTGATAAAATGCAAGTACTATTCACAATAATTTCTGTTAATAATTGTGGTAATAAGTATTTTAATATTAATATATTTATAACCCTATAAGGAAAAGCCATTTTTGTAACTAAAAATATATTAAAAAAATTGTTGTTGCTAGAAATTGAAGCATGTAACCTTTCATCTATCACAATAGTTGATATTAAAGACCGTGACTAAATACTTTTAAATAAAATAATAAATCATTCAGGCGCGAGAAAATGAGTTATTACTATAATTGTTTAAACGGCAATAATGATATTGTGTTACCAAGGAGAAATTTTCTAGTAGTGTCTTCAATGGCTGCTTGTTAAAAATATTTGATGTTAAGTAGTGAAAGCAACTTAGCAATGTTGTTGTTATAGTTGTTGTGATTGTTGTTGTTGTTGTTGTTGTTGATGTTGTTGTTGTTTTTGTTGGTGTTTTTGTTATTGTTATTGTTGTTACTATTGTTGTTGTTGTTGCTGTTATATATTGTTGTTAGCGTTCATGTTGTCATTGTTGTTGCTATTGTTGTTGTTGTTGTTTTTGTTGTTGCTGTTGTTGTTGTTGTTAAATCTTTTTTTACAAACATGTATTGAAAAAAATATAATTTTAGCAATTATAAGAGAAAATACTATATTAAGAAATCAATCTTAATTAAAATTTATGCTCTTGCAATCCATCCAAGAAAATAGTTTTATAGTTCTATAATTTTTTTCTTGTTTGAAAATACCAATTGAGTGAGAAAGTGATTGATTTTTTTAATTTAGATTTCACCTTGGTGGAAAAACCGACCAAAGGAGAAAGTGGCAAAATTTCAAATTCATCATTTGTTATCTCTGCCATAAAATTCCTGTTTCTATCGAAGTAAAAATCTATTTCTTAGTAGTATGCTCAATTTTAAACTTCTCACATACCTAACTTCCAATGGTTTAGGAACACATATCTCATTATGCAAACGTAAACTAAACGAATGTATAATTAACTTTGTAATTTTCTCAAATTTATAAAATATTTTTTTTTCTCTTGTAATCTATTCAAAAGAATGATTTTATAATTTTATAATTTTTTTCTTGTTTGAAAATACCAACTGAGTGAAAAAGTGATTGATTTTTTAATTTATATTTCACCTTGGTGGAAAAACCGACCAAGGGAAAAAGTGGCGAAATTTCAAATACATCATTTGTTACGTCTCCCATAAAATTCTTGTTTCTATGGACGTAAAAAATCTATTTCTCTGTAGTATGGTCAATTTTAAACTTCTCACATACCTAACTTCCAATGATTTAGGAACACATATCTCATCATGCATACATAAATACTTAACTAACTTTGTAACTTACCCAAATCTGCAAATCAGACACACAAGATAAATACTTAATAAACAATTACATAAAAAAATATTAGCACAGGTAAAAGTTGTGAAGTATGGGTGCTCCATTTTACGTAAAGTTTCAGTACTGGGTATCGCTATGTGTATGATATGCACCAAAGTTGTAACTTTTTTTTTGTATACTAATCGGTACATATTTGGTATCACATATTCAATTTTTTTAATTTTTTTCAGATGATATAATTTAGGCTCTTTTTTTTTGGAATAAAATAAAGTTATTTATTCTATTTATAAATAATAATAAAAATGAAACAAAAATGAATCTATTACACCGAAACTTCATTCACACAAATTCTTCATCTTTTTTGTTGGGACAAATTGGAGCACATATTAATTTATTCACTCATTGAAAACAAATAGACTTAATCTAAAGAAAGTTGAAGATTTAGTTTTTGTTCATACGAATCTCCGTCTTTTCTCGAAAAAAGAGTAAGGTTTATAATAAATGAGCAACAAAAATGTGGGATGTTGGTGGAGATAAATAAGATCTATTTCATAGAGCTGAGATTCCTGAAGTTGTTAATCTTTCTCTCGATCAACTTGAACTAGAAGCGCTATTTTTAATGATATTGGAGAGGAAATATTAATAATCAGTCATAATTTCATTATTTATTGAAACTTTTTAAGTGTTATTTATTTATGTGAATTTTTTTTTGGAATAACCATGTATTAAAATTTGTTTTTGCAAATAACCATGTTTCGGAAAAAATTACGCAAATAACCATGTTTTAGATGACTCCCCAAAGGAGGAGCCATCTCACTCTGCGCCTACACCTACTTTTTAATGGGAGGCGCCATCTCACTTGGCGCCTAGGTGCTTAGGGCTTGTCCTAAGCCAAGTGATATGGCGCCTTAGTGCATTTGCTAGGGCAATTTTCGCATTTTTTTTCAATCCGGTGCGTTACGTATTCGATATAGGATCAACAAAATAGACTTTTTATTTACAAAAATTGATTACACCCATAAGTATTACATA